GCTGTGTTGTTATAACCTCTTATGATATTGTTAGTGTGATGGACCAGAATGAAACAAATAAAACTTTCCTTCTACCTTTACAAACTGGAAGATTTGTATTAGTAAATGAGTACTAACTTGAAACCTACGTGTATCTATCATCCTGGCATTTAGGAAGGAGGAGACTCTGACAGCGATGAAGAACAGAAACTGCTCGAGTTGGAGGAAGTACTTCGTCGCCATGATCCAGAATTTGAGGGTTCAGGTTCAGCTGGGACCTCTGGCAACAACAATAATGGCAACACAGCTGAAACTCACCAGCTTCATGTAGGCATAGAGTGTATCCGGGCCCCTGAACTCCTCTTCCAGCCATCTATGATTGGCTCAGTAGAGGCAGGATTGGCAGAAACCATAGAGTTTGTTTTGTGTGGCTATCCAAGTGATGTTCAGAATGCACTCGTGAGCAATGTCTTCCTGACTGGTGGTTGTGCATCATTCTCTGGTTTACCTGAGAGACTCCGTCGGGAACTGCAGGAGATGCGTCCATTTAAATCAACATTCAGCGTCACAGTTGCTGCCAACCCAACACTTGATGCTTGGTATGGTGCACGCACGTTCTCTTCTTCTCCAGATCTCAGCCAGTATCTTCTCACTAGATTGGAGTATGAGGAGAAGGGTGGCGAGTATCTAAAGGAGCATGATACTTCTAACAAGTATTATCCCTCACCAACACCCCTTCCTCAAGCAGAGACCATTCCATTACCTGTGGGTGGAGAAGAAATTGAAATTGATGTTTTCTAAGCACTTAAACACCGGCCACAAAAGTAACTTGTTAATATGATGTTTACAGTTTCAAATGAACATTTCCAATAAATATCATTACTTTGAATATAAGTAATTTAACTAAACCTTATGCTAGAAGAGTTCCATCTCCTGGGATATAACATGGTGTAGTTCAGTGAAAGTCAGCTGTCATTGCTTGCTGCCTGCTTCATGCTGGTTTCTTGTATGGCTTACTTTTAAACTCTGAAGATGGAAATGAAATGAAGAAAGCAGTCTTCTGGGATTTGGCAGACTGCTTTTACCGGTTCTCATGGTCTCTTCGCTTGCAGATTTCTTATATTTTTTCTTCTACCCTGAAGATGGATGCGATACGTTCCTCCGAAACGTCGGTTAACACCACATATACACGGTGCCAAATCCCAGAAGACTGCTTTCTTCATAGTCACCGCCATGAAAGCCTCAAATCTTACATGGAAATGAAATGTTCTCTGAATCATCAGTTGACTTTCAGTGGACTGTGCAGTATTATATCCCATAACCATTCCTGTGAGAACCTCATTCTACATGAACCTTACACTAGATCAAGGTATAACATCACTAAAGCATGTAACCTCTGTTGACTTTTCCTTAATCACATGCTTATATTTCCCTAATGTGTTTTGGTTCTTATCAGACTATATTGAGGTTCTTTTTACCAGATATTATATTGAAACTTTACATAATTATTCAGAATTACTTTATTCTAGTCCTAAAATAAATAAACAAAATTATTATTAAAACAAATAAACTAATGGTGTTGTTATTCAGGATTATACCATGTCTTGCACCAGTTTGGTTGTTGTGTCATTTATTTTTGGGGTCATAATGTTGTGATTCAGTTGCACCGATGTTGGTTGCTGTACTTGGTTCAAAATCAAACACTATACCACAAATTAAAAGTTCCTCATTTTAACGTAACAAGGCACATAAACTTTTATATGAAACAGAGTATTCCTAATAAAGTGCAGTATTCAGAATTACTGGGGTTCTTGGTGCTGTCCATTGTCTGATATTCTAAAAAACTAGAGAACACAGCATTTCTAATGGACCCAACAAAGTAGGTGTCTCCATCCCTCACCTGAGGATGGAAACAGATCCAGTTTCCAAATTTTGTGTTCTCTAGTTTTTTTAGAATATCGGATGATGAACAAAGTCCAAAAACCCTGTATTTCCACCACTGTCAGAACCCTAGAACCAAAGTGTAGCATTTGTAAGAAAGAAAATATTAAGTTAACTAATGTCGTTTGGACACTTGTTCTCTGGAAGCTATCCTGTAGTAGAACAGAAGGTTCTTGCTGTATCTCCTCATGAAATACCTTATATGAATGATCAGTTTCAGAGTTTGAATTACTGAAGCAGAAGTACATCATAGAAGAAAGGAATCTGGAAGGAATAATGGAAATATGGAGGTAGTAAAAATGTATAAGGACGCCTCTCACCTGGCCAAAATGGGAACTTTTTCACTCAACCCAAAATAAAGGAAGTTGTCACAGATTTCTGAATGCGTTCTAGATTTGTAGTTCAGCTTCTTTCTTGGGAAGAAGGGTGGAGTGTGGATTTGTAGAAGTATACAGTATCAGATCCCAAGCTTTTGGTGTTAGAGATAATGATATGCATAAACCTAGACTAAAACATACAAGGCAACTGTATGCAGTACTCAACAGACAGACAGAAAAAATTTAAAACATTCTTTCCTTAGAATTATTAAGAGGATTGTTTAATCTTTTATCACATATTCACCAAATAGTGGAAACATTTGTAATTTGAATAGAAAAGTATTTTTCAGGATAATGTTAATATGCCATTATAAAACATGTATGAAAAGATAAAAACAAGAACCACAGAATACAGTTTTGGAATTACTTTCATAGAGTAACTGTGTCTGTTTAGCGGCCTCCGTAGTCTAGAGGTAACGTTCCCACCTCATGACTCGTAGTATGCGGGTTCAAATACCCGGCGGAGGTCGTCGAATTTTTAAGGGTGGAACAAGTCCTCCAGGAGGGACTTTAAGCCGTGGGTCCTGTGTTGTAGCTTTACGGCACGTAAAAGAACCTCATATCTCCAAAGGAGGTCACTGAGCCAAATTAACTGACGTTTCCCACCCAACAGCAGTCTCTAATACCTCCGGTAGATGGGGGAAGCATTATAGACACCTCTCAGCTAGTAGAGCCGGTCTCGCTGACTGGGCGGGACTGATGGTAAGCACCAGTACTAGTAGGATATAGAGACTGGTAGAAATCATAGAGGGAAGCACAATGGACCAATACAGGTCTCAGTGCATGGGGAAACCCACCCTCTCCAATAACTAAGTAACTAACTGTGTCTGTTTAAATTAGTTTATCTACTCACACAAGAGAAATGGAGATGAATTAGAGTGATGAGAAGACCAAAAGACTTCATCATGTCCATACCCGTATTTAGGGAATCCAGAAGTTCAGTTATCACTCCACTTTATGTTCCACAATCTTCTCTTGCATGATCTGTGTGAACATGATATCAGACAGCTGTAAACCTGTAACCAAGCAATTCTATTTACAGCTACAAATTAACTTTATTCAAAAGGCAAAGGCAAAATTTTCATGTGTTCTCAGTAAAATCCTGTATATTTTTCTTACATACCTGCTGCATGACCAACAAATCTTAATTCCTTTGTTTAATAATGCACCATAATTAGTAGAGCATTAAAAGCTGTTTTCATATCCCAACAGTTCATTTTTCAGAGCTTAAATTTCTCTCTTCACTTAAAAACTGCCACAAAATTTTAACCAGATGTAACATTCCAAAATTATATTGTATTACTTTATGGCAGGGATTTATTTCTGGTGATACATAATAAGATGGCTTTATATACAGTGGAACATCGCTTAACAAGCATAATTCGTTCCAGAATCTTACTCGTAATGCGAAACACTCGTTAAGCAAAACAGTTTTTCCCATATAAATTAATGTAAAATATGATAATATGATGCTGTGTTCCATTCCAAAAAAAAATACTCAAAAAATTTTATGTATAACATTTATTCAAAGAAAATTATATATACATTGTTACGGAGCGTGAATCATTTTCGTCTTTTCTTCTATGCGGAATGAACCAACCTAGAATGCGAATTCGGTTTGCAGAAAACAAAAAAAAATCGAAATAATTAGTTTATTATTTATGATACATATCTAATTCTTTTTTACTAGAAAGCTGTCTAGAGACATTTGTTTTTGCCGACGCTTCAAAATTTGGTGAAAATGTGACACAGCATTATCATTAAATAAATTTGTAGCGTGCATAGCCACTGGCTTATTAGGGTGATGCTTCTCAATGTACGATACAACAGTTTCCCATGCTTTCAGCATTTCTCTTATTGCGCCAGAAGATTGTTGCTTTGCTGTTACCTCCTCCTCTGACAAACTCTCCTCCACAACTTCTTGTTGTGAAACACAATGCAACTCCAAATCATGCAAATCGTTGATGTAGACTGATTGTATGTGCGTGCTAGATCAGCCACGCTCACACCCTGTTCTCGCTTTTCAGTGATTTTACGTTTCATTTCTACGGTTATTTTTATTCTCTTATGGCTGTGTTTTTGCGGCCTTTTCTTCAGGGACATTTCTGCAAGGGTTATTAAACTTTGCACAAATAATATGTCTGAACACAAGTTTGGAAAAATGTGTGATCACAAGCGACACTAAGATGCTAGCGGAACAACTGCTAAACACAGACTGATGTAGCAAGCGCACAATCTGGGACTTCCCCTCTCGTCACTCGTTATGCAAAACGTCACTCGTTAAGCGAGTCATTTTTTTACAACTTGTTTTGCTCATTATGAGAGGTGCTCATTAAGCAAGGTTCCACTGTATATATATGAGCCAGGATAAATGAGTTAGAATAGTGACAGGCTGGACAGATGGAGTTTGATTCCTGGCAGGGGCAAGATTTTTCTCTCCCCATACTGATGCTGCAGCCCACCCAGCCTCCTATCCAATGGATACCTGGGGCAATTTCCTAGGAGTAAATCAGCTGGGGCATGAAGCTGACCACTCAGCTCCATCTAGTGCTGAGGTTAACAATGGTGGAGCTATACCTCCATTCCCCAGTGTCATCATGGCATAGTGCTTAATTAAGTACAGGGACAATTTTAACTATATATAAATATATATATTTATTTATTTCTGATATATAATTAAATTCTTGGTACTTAGGCCATTACTGGACCCGTTATACATAACATACTGGTACCATTTTCCATAAAACATAAATAATTACAACTCTGAAGAGTTCTGTCTTCTGGGATATGATGCTGTGTGGTACATTCAAATTCAGTCAATGTTCTGGATGAACATGTCACCTCCATCTTCAGGGTCAAAGAATAAGCTAAACAAGAAAACAATGGTAAAGCAGGTGGCATGCAGAGCAGCAGTGCTTTCATTCTGATTTCTTACTTCGCTTATTCTTCGACTCTGAAGAAGGAAGCGACATGTTCCTCCAAAATGTCAGTTAACTTCGAATAGACTGCTCATTGTTATATCCCAGAGGACAGAACGCTGCATACTCACTGCTGTGAGAACCTCAAATCCTACAATTACAGCTCTGTTAACTAAAGTCATGGTGTGACAGTAGCTGAAATAAGAATGAAGTCTTCTTATAACTTCAATTCACTGGTTTATTTTTTAAATTACTTAGTTTGCCTCCCATACATGCTCAGCCCTATCAGTGAATTTAGTCCTTATTGTATCTGGAGATGATGCGTCCAAAGAAGCTATAACTGAAGCCACGTTCTTGATATTTGTTGTATTTGTGATTCATTTTAAGCATTTGGTTGCCAGGATACATATAATGCTGAAACTTAACATTTATTATTAATATGAAGACTCACCCTGTATAATATTAATTTATTTTGTTTCAGTTTTAGCTGTTTCCATAGTGAATTATATTGAGAATGAAACCAGCTATATGTTTCCTTGCTATACAGACAAAATCACAACTGACAGCTTAACTTGTCAGGTCAGCAGAAGACATCTTCTTACTGACAATACCAGATTTTTAAAGGACTTACAACAGAATAGCACAGTGTACAGTATACAGCGTTGAAAGAATTCAATTTGGCAGACTGTCTGGACTGGAATCAGTATTCTGCAGTCCTACCTACTCTTCCCTATCTTGGATTCTGATTGGCCACTCCTGTTCAATGTGATTTGTTCACCACTTGCCTCTCCCATGAAACCTCCCATCTGCAGCATGGCTCACTTCCACCCTGAAGACAGATGGATAATGTCCCCTGAAACGTTGTTAACCACCTGCTATTTATTATTACTATTATTATTATTATTATTAGAGGGAGTGGGTTTCCACATGCACTTAGACCAGTTATTGGTCCATTGTGCATCCCCCTTTAATTTCTACCCCATACCCTACCGGTACTGGTGCGTGCTATCAGCCCCGTTCAGCCGAGGTCGGCTGTCACTACCTGATATTTCCCTCATCTACCAGAGTCGTTGGAAACTACTTGGGCGGGAAATTGTTGCCTAATTAATTTTGCTCAGAGGTCTCCTAGAGACACGAGGATCTTTTACGTGCCCTAAATCTATGACACGGGGCCCACGGCTTAAAGACCCTCCCGGAGGACTTGTTCCCTGAATTTTTCCGCCCTTAAAAATTCCACGACCTCCGCCGGGTTTGAACCCGCGTACCTTGAATCATGAGGTGGGAATGTTACCCCTAGACTATGGAGGCCACTTAACCACCTACTAGATCAAATGGTATACAATAGAACAAACTTGTGAAGGAAAGTCAAGACATTTAAGCAGCACCATAAGCAACTGGAAAGCACTTCCGTAGAAAAGAGAGCTAAGGTAACACCTGTGAGGCAAGGATCTCCATGAACCTCTTGCAATCTAAGCAACTTTTCAGCAGACTGTGAAAAGCCCTTTTATCGCATATAAAATGCAAACAAATTATACTTCACATGTCAAGGCATTAAACGTTGGTGGATCTGGCCCTTATGGATGACTTATCCCTAGTAGAGCATTCATCTGTGTGTATAAAAGAATCTTGGTATTCTGAGACTTTACACAGCATACATATATTCATGTATCTGCATTTAAACCATGAGTACTAATACAATTATTGTTTCCAGATATTATCCATCATCCTGTTTTTTATTAAAACACAAAGTTTTGAGAATGAATTCTGTCTGTGTCATCAGGTAAAAGCCTACTCAGTTGGGCCCAATCGATAGATCTAATTCCTATCACCAGACAGTAACACCAACACCTGATAGGATACATCAACCAAGCACAGCATAAACCATCTGTGAGAGTTAAGAAAAACATGATAATAGAGACAGACTCCAGTCTCCAAAATGTATTTTAAATTAAAAAAAAAAAACAGGACAATGGATAATGTCCACAAACACAATAATTGTATTAATATACTATTGTCACAAACATCTACAAGAGTACTAAGTTTGGCCAATGCAAGAAACCTAATCCTTCATTAAACAAGGGTTTACTGTATACATATTAGAGACTGAAAATCATACAAGAAAACAACTCTTTGAAATAAACCTTTCATATCAACCATTACAAATACACTATATAGTGTGTATATATAATTACTCAATGCTAATGGAGATATGTACTATACTGCAGACAACAATTCTGGCTAGTTTTCAAAACTGATCTTGAATGACACCAACAACATGACCCATACAGCCGTTGCTATATAGCACCTGCAGCATACACATGCATGGTGACATCACACAACAAAAGAAGAGGTGATGCTGGCAGTGTTCTATGTGGGTCTGCTCCAAGGCTATGTGACTTGACCGACTATGTTGTGTTCAGGGGGAGTGAGTACAGTGCAGTTGAGGGTTCTATTATGGAGAGTTAACCAGCAGGAAATGGAAACTGAAGAATCTCCATGTTCAAGATTCGTTACCATGAAACATCTAGTGAAGACATTGCACAGGAATTGCTATTGCTGAGGGCTGTTACCAAGTAAAGACTTGTGACAGCAGACTGAGAAGTCTTAGTGTGGACAGATTTGTAGTGCAGAAATCAACAATTTGAAGTTATGACCTGTAAGTGGTCAATAAATCTATTCACCAATCCAAACCCTGTCTATACTCACTAATACACGTGACAATATTTATGTATAACAAAGGTAAAGCTGTCCCTGTAATAGGCCATGGAGGCCCATAGGGTTGTGAGGCACTGAGGGTCTCAAATTATCTAGACAATTGGCTCACAGATGGCAGTAAGGTTGTTATCCTTATGTGCCAGCCACCCTTTACCCTTAGGAAGATTTCTGTTAGAGGCTGAGTCAACCCCAGGGCCATAGTGTGGCTGGAAGGATTAGGTCAATTGAAAAAGAATCCGCGTCATGAGGACTCAGACCCACGACCTTCTGGCTTGTAGCACAGCGCCTCAACCAACTATGCTACCATGTGCCCCCTTTATGTATACTAAGAATGTTAAAATAGCATACAAAATATAATACCATCATATAAATATCACATATTTTTCCAGACATTTTATCTAAAATCACACTCACTGAACTCTGAATTCATAAGAATTGTGGACTGTTTCAGTTACTAAAACTTTCATCAGTATGCCATTGCATTCCCAGTTATTCTTCATCATTTTACGTTCTTTAAATAACATACTTCCCAGTCATGGAATCCTCTTTAAATCCCCAAAAGGACAACTGTCAGGATAAGGTCATATCAGACCTGCAAGGTGGCTCTCGTTTGGCCTTTCACTGTTCCCAAAAACCAATCAGTACACAGTGGGTTAAGAATATGTCACTAAAATAGATTTGATAAATGCAATCCTACCTACTTGCTACGTGATTTGAGTTTCTCTCTGCTAGAATAATAATCCAGTCTTTTTCTGCAATACTGGCTGTATGTGACATGACAGCTGTTAATAAAATTATACTCTTCATAAAGATTAGGACAACCCCAACCCAAAAGAATGATAACAACTGTGACACACATTAGCAGCAGTGAATTCTGAGCCAAAAAGAGCCACCTGGTCAGCTGAAATAAAAAAAAATACACGCTGTAAAAGCATATTTAATTACACGTTAGATTTAACAATATTCCTTCTCCAGTAGAGTGTGATATTGTGTATAAATTTCTTTCACAATTTTACTGTATTCCACAACAGGTAATTTACCCCACAGACATACTGTACTGTCAACCCAAAGGCCAACAGTGGCTCCAAATGCAACAACAGGGCCATAAAACAAAAATGTGAACACTCCAATTAATACTAGTTTATCATTTTTGGATCAAGATAAATTCTTTATGAATATCCCTCCTGCAAACCATCACATTCCACTGCTCCATAAAAAACTACAACTGATCTTAAACAATGGGCCAGATACCTGGTGAACTAAAATATTTAGCAGTGGCTAACGAACTTGCATTCATGTCAGTCTTCTGTGTCATCGCTCATATTTTGTACTGTTGCATACAAAATTAATTAATTCATGCATATTCAACTTTTAGAATGAAACAAAATGTTGCATACATCATACCAATACCAATTTAAAGCTGACAAAGATTTTTTAAAAATAAATATGAAATAAAATTGATTACATTAATTTGTTCAAATAATTTTCATGTTGCAAAAACTATTTCTAATTTCATGATATATACATCAACATAAGGGCAGTAAATATTGATTATAATTGGTATGCACAGCCCACTGTTATCATGAGTCATACAACATATTTGTATTTGTACAATCAGCTATCACTTTCATTACAGCCATAGAATACATCTAAGTCTAAGATACCCGCTCCAGTCATGAACAATTTCCTGTTTTACCGTGAAAAATAATGAAAATAAAACAAAAATAATACTATTCTTCTTGTACATTCATTATAAATAATACTGTTACACAAACCTAGTTGTTCAATTATAAATATGATTCATAATCCAATAATGCAGATTATATTTGTACACATTAAAATAACATTTGCTGTATATTTGTTAATTTCAGGCAGTCATGTTCATTGCAGATTTGAAATTGTCATGCATAATTCTTTGTGTAACGTACCTTTCATTTTTAATCAGAATTCAAGGATTCCTATGCTTAGGAAAGAGAGACTTGTCTATTGAAATGACTTGTATAATAAATATTTGTTATACTTTATGCTTGGTACTAAACACCTGAAGTATTTAAAATGTATAGAAATTATAAGTATTTCCTTAATTGGTTAATAACAAACTGATTTCTTGTATATACTTCACTGTACACATTTACAGTTAGGATTACCAAGTTTTTGCATTTTGTCAATTGTCCAGTATCCATGGAAACCACAATGTTTCTAAAACTGGGTCTGTTTCCATCTTCAGTGAAGGGATGGAAGACACCGACTCTACTGGGCTCATTAGAAAGAGCTAACCTCAATCATTGGAGGAAGATCTTTCTAGCAGATCCAACAGAGTAGGTTCCCCCACCTAAGACAAACAGATCCAGTTTAAAAAACAATGTGTTATTTAGAATACCAAAGTCCAAAAACCCAGTATTCCCAAGTGTTATTCACCATTATCAGAACCCTTTAGGATCTGCATTTACAGTTACACTTTCTTCTTCTTTGTCCCAGGTAAGGTTGTTTTAAATGGAGTAATGTAACGTAACTTGTGAACATATGCTCCTGAAGGTAATAATGCACTCAGCACAAAATGTGTAATTATTGCTGTCATCCCCCAAATTCTGTGTTCACTGCCAATAAATACTGGAAGTGCATAACCATTTCGAAATTGTGTAGATCTAAAATTAGCAGGATCAATTAAATGTTTCAATGGCATAGTAAAAACACACTGAACCTCCTTCCTATTTAATATCAGTCCTTCAACAGACACTTCTCCAAGATAACCAATAAATGGCATTACTGCCATATCCTTCTGCCTTGTACCCACAAAACATCCACTACCCCACACATCAATCTGAGTTCTCTGAATTCCAAGTTCCTCGAAGGTCTCACGAAGAGCAGTTTCTTCTAAACTGTCATCTGTTGTGTCTTGTACACCACCAGGAAATGATACCTGTCCCCTGTAGCTCTTCAAATCTGATGAACGCAGTGTATATAACAAGGATAAGTCATTATTTACTATACACAAAGGCACTAGCACTGCAGCTTTCTTTATTGGTTCTCTACCGTCTAGCCTGAGTGGTTTCATGCTTTTCAATTTAGTAATACAGTTTTCTCTATTCTCTTTGGTCAGTATGAATTCTTTTTGTATTGTCCTACCGTGATTAATATTTAGAACGTTAGCTTTCGGTGTCAGACCAAAGAACCAGTATTTCAAACATCCAACGTGCATAACCTGTTTCTTCACGTGTGTTGGTATAATAGGCCTTGACATGTATATCATTTTGACTTTCGAAGAATTAAATGATTAGGAGTGTATGTTATCTTATTAAATTTTATCACAGTTTTACAGTATTAGCTCTTACTTTAAATTTCAAAGGTCACTATAAAACAGATATTTCATATACATCAACTTTTCCGCCATTCAACCTCTCAACACGTGACCGAAGTAACCTATCTAACCTATACTCTAGGTTTCTCACGGCTCACGACACAGGAATGTAAGCACTGAATAACATTTCTACGGAATGAACGAAATGCACGCTATTAACTCCATGAGACGAGAAGGAAAACATATATGACGTACGATACTTTATTACAGTTTATTATGGATTAATCTATTCACTAACTGTAAGAAGGCTGTATAAAGACTCACCATTTATTACAGGATGCATATTAACTCCATGAGACGAGGAGGAAAACGTATATATGACCTACTCTAGGTCCTCACGACACAGGAATGTAAACACTGAATAACATTGCTACGGAATGAACGAAATGCACGCTATTATTAGCATAAGTCTGAGGGGTGGGCCATAAAACTGGCCCTAGCACTGCGACCTTCAGTGATCTATTGTGCTCATGCACGCTTATAACTCGATGAGATGGGGAGGAAACATATATGATGTATGATACTTTCTTGCAGTTTATTATGAATTAATCTATTCATGTAACTGTACTGAGGCTATATAAAGACTCACCATTTATTACAGGATGCCTGTTTTCCATTGGACATCTAATTTATTCCAAACGTACAGCCCCATTCATCTCTTCCAAGTAAAATATAAACAATATAAATTGCGTCAGTCACATATGACTTCATTAGCCTCTCCCCAAGACCTCATTTTCTTGTTTGTTTCTTTAGTACGCTACTGAATTACAGGTAAAGAAAATTCCTCTAGTGTGGCTCCAACTAATTTTCAAATCCGCATATACAGTACATGTTCCAATATTGCTGTATGCCGTTAAATCAGTTGATTATTTCTGATTTTCTGATTATCTTCTCCGAAGAACGATAATTTCTTAATAATTCCATTGTTCGAAATTAATCAATTTTGAAATTTACTGAACCATGGATATTATTCAAATCTCATTTATTACAATCTCGCAATAATTCCACGCGCAACGTCACTCCACACTTAATTCCGAAACGTCACTGTCGTTTAGAGCGTTTAGAACTATTCAGAATTGTTTACTGTTGGACACAACCTGCAGAGCTGCGTCCGATAGCGTTGTGTTGAGTTACGCTGCGTCAATTTCAAGTACATACGTGTGTATTGACGCATCACAGCAAGTCGTATCCATCAGCGCATATAATTGGGCCATCTCATTTTGAGGAGTTTACAAATCATTTATGCCCATTAAATTTCTTTTGATATATTAAAATATTTTCAAACTCTGAGAAAAATTTATGACTTTTTAAATTCCACCAGTTTTTTTTCGAGATTTCACAATTCGGGTGGATTTCGAAAACTTTATTTTTCAAAAAGGCTTAAGATTCTTAAAAATAGTTGAACAATTTTTATTAATTCCATCATTCGAAATAAATAGATCTTGAAATTTTTAAAACATGCAGTGTATTTCAACACTCGACAACTTAAATTTTTCATTTTATAAGAAATACTTAAATTTATTGAACAATTCTGAATTCTGTAAACTTGAACAATTGTTTATATTCTCAACACAAGACTTCAACATATATCACTACCATTTAGCTCGCAGACGTCACTGGAATTCCGTCAGATCATTCGCCCATATTTGTCGCCTATGTTTAATATGAGGCTGTATAAATTCCAAAACTTTAAATTGATAACGTTGCATCATGTATCATTATGACGTTTCTGTGTAATTTAATGTGTCCCCTCCACTAGTTCTATCATCTCGACGTATTGCACGCGGTTCTATTAATAGAGTATTCGCACACTATATCATAGGTGTAACAAAATTCCATATACTTGGACAACAAGTTAATTCACAGGCTGTTAAAACGTGGGTTGTTGTTATTATGCGTAACGTTAATCAAGAAGCATCCATCATAGACAGACTTAGGCATGAATTTCAGACAGAATAGCGAGAGAACCCTTCTTCTGACAAACACCTTACGTGTGTATTTTTAAGAATACTTTTATGCTACGTATGGAAGTAGTATTCCGGTCTAGAAACCCGAGATTAATGTCCGTGGGGATCCTTTGCGCTGACCACGTGACACCCTCTATCTGTAAAAGTTGCCACTAATTTCGCCGACAAGCTGCGGTCGCTCGGTCGGTATAGTTCACTTGCGGACTACAGGCGACGGGGTATGGAAGTAGTATTATAAGGAAATATATTTCTGTGCATCATTAAAATAATCAAATTCTTTTTTACAAGGAAAACAGCAGCAACAAGGATGAATACATTTATTTTCTTATATTCTTTGAAAAATTGTGAATAACCTCATCACAGTTCAAAACGAATGAAAGAAAAACACGTCTACATATATTTATATAATCATAGGGTTTTTTATTCTTCGCAAGGGCCTTTCTTCGCTATGCGAACACCTGAAACAAGAAACAGTTATACCAATTAATATTTAATGTCAATAATTGTATCATTGCATGTTAATTCTATATACAAGTTCAAAGAACCTTACCGATATGTTATAATATTTTCAGACAGTTTATTATACCAACTTAATAAAAGGTATAGTGCATAATAATATTAATATTAATTTACATAACTGTAGTTGTAACTGTATTTGCATTGTATGCATTGCGTGTAGTGTGTCCTTTGTTGTTTGTGTAGTTTTGTGTGCTGTGTTATGTTTGTGCGTGGTGTGTTATTTCGTGTGATGTGTTATTTGTGTGTTGTGACTTATTGTAGTACCATTACCACCGGGTAAAACACATTTGCAGTTAAAATAAACAATAAAAATAATAATAATAACAGAGTTTCTCATACTTTGTGATATGGTGACCTCCCTAACGTAACAAAAATATATGCTCCCCCCCTCCACTTATGTCGGTTAGCGATTAGTCTGCACACTGTTGCAGGTCCTTGTCAGGATGTAGAGGCAGACTGACTGAGTATACTGGTAAACCACAATGGGGACACTGATATAGGAAAACACGACGACAAACTGATAACAGCCGCAAAATAGCTGGATAACAATGAAATTTAACAACTAGCATGAAGTAAAATAACGTGCAAGAGAGAAGCACGGGAAACTAATACAGTGCAGTGGTCTCACTCGAGGATAGAATTCACCTGATGATGGCCCAATGAGGCCGAAACATGCTGTGAATATAAATTAGTAAAAAATACACGTAAAACCAAGACAATCTGAGGAGTGTGAACATTCACTTTTAATGTGTAAATTTATGTACCACGTAAAGGCTTACGGGCATTTTATTGGTTTGAACTGTCATAGTATTTAAATGCATTTTTAGTGAACAACATATTCCTAATGTCTTTTTAAAGTTGTATTATTGACGGATATGTTGGTATAAAATAGAATGATGCCTCATTACAACAGGATACTGAAATATAATATAATATAATGACTGCTACATCGTTACATGCCGTCGCCAGCACAGTGATTCTTGGTGCCGAGTCCCACGGGACTCACGATCATATCTTACTGCCTGGCGGCTTTGGAAGCTTTCAGACCACTCACCTCTCTGGTGCCAGGATGTACGCTCATAGCAGGAACCTAAATAACTTCACAACCTCTGCATACCCACAGTAAGCAATAAAATGTCTGTACGCTCATGAACTGGGCCATTCTGCACATGACTGTCAGTCCTTACCGTGCTGTAGGGTGAAAATGGGATCCTAACTAATGGCTTTACCTCTCTACGTCGTCAGTATGTTATAAAATTGATTTTATTATATTAATCAATTTTAATATTGTAAACAATTCTTGAGAAATGTGCGGCTCCCCTTAGAGTAAGTATTTCACGACACACAGTTTGTGAAACCATGAAGATGGCGGGCCCCTGTCACCAGAGCTATTTAATTAGCTGGCACGTTATTTAACACTTTCTTTAAGATTCAATAAGCAGACACAGTTCACTCGGGGTGCAGTTTTGAACTTTTGTTGATTTCCAAAACGAACACCAACTGCTTCCATGAAACCCGTTAATTTCAGAGTTAAAAACAACAGTATCTGGCTTACAATTAATTCAATATACTTTTTAGTAGCGTTACAAATATATTAAGGCATATAATTATGGCCTTGCACATACTCTGTATCTGACTCCACGCCACGGGACTTAACATATCCCCGTCAAGCCCACAAGTGAAAGGAAGATGAGATGGGCAGAAGAATAACTTTTGCTCCTCTTCCTAGTATCGATTAGTATCGATAGGGCGATTAAAATCAAGAAGGATGGGATATGTAGCATGCATGGGGAGACTTGAAAAGACATATACACCGTCTGAGTCGGAAAATCTCAAAAGAAGAGTACAATCTGGAGACCTACGCTCTAATTGCGTTATAATACTAAAATGACAGATATAAGTAGGATATGAATATCAGGACTTCACTGGCTCAGGATAGTATCCAATGGCGGGAACTACCTGTAATGAACCTTCGATTTCCACGAAGTACGGAATTCTGACGTTTTGTTCTTGAACGAGTGGAAATTTTTAAGTTCATGATGCCTCAGCCACAATGAATCTTATTCCCGCCTTTGGCTGTTGATATTACCGACATAATCTGGTCAATATGAAAACAATACGACTAGAAATCTCAACAAATATTAATATATATAAATCTCGTCTAACTTAGAAGTATAGAATTGCATTCATATCTCTATGACTCATTCAAATTTTCTAAAATGCTATAGGCCTACCGGTTATGGTCTTTTTCTAATTCTAATGGCGTCAGCTGCCTGTCATATAAGACATAGTTTCGAGTGGACTAAAATTAGAACGGGCGGATTTAGAGTTTGGATTATAACATCAATGTTAAACTCACCAGCTTTTCCTCTGACAGTATTAACTGCACATCTCAGTTCACAAGGATTTGAATATGTTTTCCTGTCTGTGCCACAAACTGGGTTGTAAATCCTAGGGCAAGGACAGGCTTCAGTTTGTTCGCTTCTGGTTACAATGACGGCAAACGCCAGGCACATTATCAGTATCGCTGTTGACATCCTCATGGTCCTGTAATACCAGCATCACACTTCTCCATAATTTATCGCAAAAATTTAACTATTCTTTAGACATTATTGTCGTTAAACGATTCCCATATCTGAAATAAGCATTCTCACCTCAATGGAATTAATCTTTTGCTTCAATTTCACACGGGCGTTCATGTCCCCTACTTCAGCCCAATGACAGTACAATCGATACAATCGATACATAGATGCTGCATTGGACTTTGTCGACTGTCGAAATCTGTCACCGAGCAAACGGTACTACTTCTGATTTATAAATGAGAGGTGCCAGATTTGAATCTCAGCCGGAACACCGATTATGGTGACTGAAAATGTTCCCGATTTTCCTCAGTTCCTCCAGAAATTTTTTGTGGAAGTACCTTAAATTAGGCCACTACAGATCCCTTTCACATCGTTTCCAATCCATTATTCATTAATCGCCCTACATTAATCACGCCGTATAGTCTGAACTATTGACAGTATCATTACATGAACCATAAATAAAGAAATTAATTTAAAATGAGATCAGTACAATGACAACTAACCATTTAAAAGCGGGGATTCCAGTTATTCAGTATAGAGGGGGTGGGTTTCCCCATGCACCGCGACTAATAGTCTATTGTATGTCTCCCTTTAATTTCTACTGTCGCCATACCCTACCGATACTGGTGCCCGATATCTCCCCTTTCTGCCAGCGAGATCGGCCCTCTACTGGCAGTGGTACCCGATTACTCTCCCCTTTCTGCCAGCGAGGTCGGCCCTCTACTGGCATTGGTACCCGATAACTTCCCCATCTACCGGAGGCATTGGAAACTACTTGGGCGGGAAAAGTTTTGCCTAATTT